TACTCCGAACTGAAAGTGGAAGTGGAACAGTTGTGCGGAATGAAGACCACCATAGTTCCGATCATCATAGGCACAACTGGCGTTGTCCTGAAAGACCTCAAGGGACATGTCAGGAAGCTGGAGTGTGAAATATCACTCGATATCCTCCAGCGTACAGCAATCTTGGGCACGGCCAGCATCCTTCGCCGTGTCCTTCAGAATTAGGCGAGTATGAGGTCTGGGATGTGGTTCATCCCCCCTCATATCTCCAATACCGGCAGGTGCCGTGGAAGGATTTATATATATATATATATTCATGGATTGCATAATAAAAAGTAGGAGGACGGTAAGAAAACCTGATACTACAGTATATCAGGAAAGCCAGTACTTAGTAGTATTTCTAGGATGCAGGAAATAAGGTATCCATCTAGTATGAAATCTTGGTACTGCGACTGCAGGATGGTCAGCAAAAGCTTAATGTGTATGATTTGGCGTTAATTTTGCATAAACTTGATATCATGTTCTTCACGTCAGATGGAGTGACGTCTAGTTTATGTATTAATAAAATACACCTGTAGATCCCGCTTCGTCTGTAGAATGGTGTGACCATTCTCCCCACATTGTTCCTGGGTGTCTTCCCTTTCTTCTTCTGGTGTCCCACTTATGATTACCTTGCACCTCATAATAAGGTCAAGGTCTTCAAACAGCTCCTCAAACTTTGCCAAGTGTTTCCCAAGGATCATGCGTAAGAATTCCGCTCCATCTTGGTTCAATGCACACACTGCTGCTTTCGTTGCCTCCACTTCATTTTCCAAGTTCCCTTGTTTTGCTTTAACTTGGTGCAACTTCTTTTCCACAACTCTTATCTCATCTGCTACGCAGGATACCTCCTTCGAATTGTCTCCACCACTCATAAGATTTTCATCAAGCAATTTTCCTGCTTTTGCGGACGTTAGTTAATCTCAACGTCTCCACTCCCCTTTCATCCGGAGTGGTAGAACCTAGATGGTAGGATGGGTTCCACAAAGGGATCGGTCATGAAGTAGTCCTACGTTCGAAGAAGGTTCTTCTGCCTGTCCAGTAGTGCATCTTCCGAGAACTAGGCCAGTTTTCCCAACTAGGCCTAGGTCTGCCCTCCATCTTCCATTCTCAATGCTGGTCCTGCATATAGGCTCGTATTTTTTTAAAGGAATATCATGACTTCTGATACTGCTACCCACATGCCGAGCCTTTCGGATCCGCAGGACGTTGCGAAAGAAACATAATTAAACTTTCTTTTCCCAGTGAAACGGCATCATGAGATTGGGATCCCGCCAACCTCGAGGAATCGTCTGATGCAGGGTATATTTAGCACAGTTGTTCATGGATATATATTCGTTCCCTGATTCTTCCTCTGGCTGAACGTTTCGACAAGGGTGCAGTGAAATTTTTGTTTGAAAAATATTTCGGTTGCCGAATGTCATTTCTATATATCTTCCACTTTGTCAAAGGTAAAACGAATTTGGAAGTATTTTCCCATTAAAAACGCCCTTAGGTTGTGGTGTCTACCCATTTCGGACACAACTCGTTCCCTAAGCAATCTCAGGTAGTCTCTAGTATTACCAAATACAATTTTTTGTAAACCTGACGTTATTTATCGTGGATTAGGCATATTTGCTTTGATGAGACTTTTATATCTGTTTATCTATCTACGCTCATGCTCAAGTGTACCAGCTCACGTGCGCAGGCGCAATGCATATGTACAAAATGTATCTAACCAATACCACCACATTTAACCACTTTGACACCCCATTCCGAAGGAAAGTGGCGGGCATGATTAAAATGGAAGATATGTGCCCTTAGGGCTTCCCGAGCAACTCCTAAAATTCCCTTGGGTCACAGGTAGTGCACCACTGCCTTAAGTGAATGTAATCAAAAAGCGAATAATGCATTACAAGTAGAAACCTGAACGCAGGAACGTTGCAGCTATTTTTTGTGTACCAATAATCGGCTTTCCAGGTCTAACAATTTTATAATCCTGAGAATATATCTGAAATTAGGTTCCCGCAAAACGTGAGTTTTAGAAACCAAGGAACGGATAATACGTCGGATTAGTGTAGATTATCGAAGGAGATTTGGGACGGCAATATCGGCATCCCAGCAACTCAGTATAATTCGTTAGTTAAGTTAGTTTGCAATTTTGTACAATGCCCAAGAAAGACATGTTAATAATAAATAATGAAATACATAATCAGTTACAACTGGAGTGAGTCACAGCGCCAAAATCGTTTTTTTTTCCTGTTCCAGCAAGACTCTGCCAGTTTTTCCCTCAAGAGCTCAGCATTTTCAATCTACCTTAGGACAATTGCCTGGTGGAAACTAAAGCAAAAATGGGCGGGGACTTCTACTAATTTTACTCACAACCTCCAAGATGTTCATATTGCTAATCTAAGAGGGTGAAATTCTGCATATTTTTCATGCTAGCAAGGCGCAAAGGCATAATGCTGTAGGTGTCACTATTGTGGCAACGACCAATTAATGTTAGAAGTGTAATAACTGCAAGTGTAAATGAATTGCACTAATCACGGTCAAAGTGCACCCGGGGTTCTAGGTACCAATCACAACATTAAAGAAATGCGAGGGCCTATCTCCCGTTTCCACACGTGCAACAGGTAACATCAGATGCCCCCCTCGCAAAGCACATAGACCATCCATCACCTTGGACACCGCACCTGTACGACCTTGGGACACGGCAGACGCGATCCCAGCGGAGGGCTCCACGGAACCGCGCATATGCTTCTCGTCCCTGGCGGTCGCGACAGCGGGTGGCATAATTTGAAACCCTACTCCTGTTCCAACACTGGGACCTAAACAGCCAATCAAACGCTCGCCAAATGTCATTATAGGAAAATGGTGACTTCAATGTTAATACAGGTTTCAGCTCTACCTGAAAAGCAGGGAGTTAATGTTTTTGAGTAGCTCTTGGTTGGACTTGGGTTTCCCCGTTTAAAAAGTAAAAAAAAAGTTTAATTTTTCCTTAAATCAATATTACGTCAGTGACACGTGCGTCAGGTACTTTTCTATGTCTGCCTGGTGAACTACATGCCCACAAAGTTTCAATATTATACGTTTGCCCATTTCGCTGGTGAAAAAAAAAACATGTTTAGAAAAGCCGACCCACCCTAACGCTATACCCGGAGGGGATGCACCATGATAGCCAAATACTCCCTCAGCTCAGTAATATCATGTCACTTATACGTGTGACAAGTTTCACCTTTCCATTTCTGTCCAATTCGCACCAATAATTTTTTTTTTTCAAAGCATCGCCCCTCGAAAAAATTCCCCTAGGGGATATATCGAGACTTAACATTTTTATTGAACTGTTTGTCTTAGTATCATCGATAACATGAATCGATGACATGAATTAAATAAATTCATTTTCAACAATTTTTTCCCTGGATCGGTACCAACAGTCGCAGAGGTATGGCCTATTCGATATCATCCCCTGTACCGAGTAGATCGAGGGTTTGCGTGTTAGCCGAAATACGATGCTTAGTATTGATGGTTGCACAGATGGAAACGACTGCTGGAAGTGCTCCCATGCCAGTCCGCACATTTCGCACGTCCGAGTCTCCAAACAGAGTTAGTGTCTCTCAAGAGGTCCATCACCGGCATTTTCAGTAAAAAGAAAAATTCAGAAAAATAGATTTTGGGTAAATGTACTTTCAAATACCACTTGACGCTTGCACCCATTATTTTTTTTCCAGATTCGCGATTCCTCACTTTCGGGAAGAAATACAACAAACCGTCTCATCGACCGTCCATCTCGCTAAACTTATCTGATCTTTTTTGTCGCAAAAGTAATACAACGGAATTCCCAGAAACGTTTTTTCCTTAATTTGGCAGAATTGCAGATCGAGGACACATCTCTTTCCACGCTTGCAACAGGTAAGAGCAGATCACACCTCCAGAAGGTGATGGATGGTTCGTGTCTTTTGGTGGGGGACCAAAACACACAAACCATTCATCACCTTCGACATCGCACCTGCACGACCTCGGAACTCGACAGACGCTATCCCCGCAGAAAGCCCAACAGACCCGCGCATCTTTTTCGTCCCTGGTGGTCGCGACACCGGGTGAATGCCACCTTCCCCATTCTCGACTCCGCCGAATCTTTTCGCCTTTCGGCAAGGAAAAGAATGTTTACGTCCGTCTTTCTCATATTTCCGCTGTGCTAGACAAAGACATTTCTTAGCAGGCCGCTTTTCATTACAGCCTTTTTACCGCAATGCATTTCGATGCCGATTGAACTTTTTTTTAAATTGAAACATTTCAATTTCCTCAGTGAATCACATTTTTTGGTCGACTCGATATTGTGTGGGAAAATGAAATTCCCCTCGCAATTCACCTCATTGATTCATGAACCGACTTCATTTTCTGGAGGACAGTTGTGAACAGGTATCAAATAATCGGGAACCACAGAAGAGGATGTGGAGAAAGGAATTGATTGCAAGAATCATTACTGCGTTTTCCTGAAGACCATGATTGTATTTTGGAAATAATTATTTCGGGCACTCTTTCGTAGTTTCTCTGTGTCCTGCTTCTGGAACGAGAATGACGCTTCCGCAAGCTTCGAGATGACATAGTCATTCGGTCGCTCGTTCACGTGTCCCTTTCCTCCTTGACCGGGCACGGCCCAGGACATGACGATGCCGTCCCTCGCGTGGCTCCAGACATTCTTGAGGAAGACGCCCTCCTTCTCCTTCGGGATGTGCTCGCCCACCTCCAGGCACACGACCCAGTCGTAAACTGGGATCTTCGAGCCAAGATCTTTCGTCAGATCCACTTCTGCCACCAATCCTTTCGTGACTTCCTTCGCGTTCGGCATCCCGTCGTATCCATCAATCTTGGCCACTTCCCCAAGTTCTCGCAACTTCTTCACGTATTGACCGCTTCCGGCGCCGAAATCAGCCACGGAGTTCCCGGCGAGGAACGTCGACAGTTGTTTTGCCAGGGGTTCGTCAAAATATGTAACGTGGATTTGTAACACTTTTTCTCTGGGACACCAAGCACCCGTGAACGACACGTCCTTCTCAGGATTCATGTCGCAATCCAACTGGGTGCACTCCCCAAGCACATTTAGCTCCGTATCCCTCCG